GTTCCGTCCATCCGTCCGTCCGTCCGTCCATCCGTCCATCCGTCCATCCATCCATCCGTCCATCCGTCCATCCATCCATCCATCCATCCATCCATCCATCCATCCATCCATCCATCCATCCATCTATCCATCCATCCATCCATCCATCCATCCATCTAGCTATCTGTCTATCTGTCTATCTATCTATCTATCTATCTATTGCAGGAGTACACTGAAAAAGAATTATCGGCGTTTTTACCAAGGTCCGTTGGTACCTTCAAATAATAATCTTCAAATATATTCAGTGAAAAATTCACTACCAAAATCCAATTTTTAAGCATCAAAAAGTGAATTTGAAATTTTTTCCCGCTTTAAGGCTCCGTATAATTTTGAAACTTCAAACCCGTATCTTATCCCTTGAATTGGCATAACTTCGCTAATCAAAATTGTGTTACTCACGAGCATTCTGGCACGCAACACGGTTTTTATGTATATATTCTAATGGCGGCTTCAACTTTAGTTTACACTTATCCAACTTGTCCTGCAAGCCCCTTAATTTAGTATGCGTTTTGGTGCATATCTAATGCCCATTATCCTCGGCTATTATCATATTTTATTTGATTTTATTCTATTATATTGTATTATATTACATTATATTATGTTATATTACATTATATTAAATTTTTATTGTTATGAGTATGTTTTCGAAGGTGGAGCGCCAGACACAGTGGATTGGAGGTGCCCCGAATGCGGAAAATCCTTCCATAACAAAGATACAATAAACGTGCACAAATATAATCATTCCGCAGTTCGCAAAGGCTATACCACGTGCAGGAAATGTCGTCAGGTTTTTGACACTTTACAGCAATTCATTAATCATATAAATTCACACCTCGAACGTAAGTTCATGAGCCACTCTCTTAATTTTTCTCTCTGCATGACCCATTTTCGTGTTTGTTAACTGTCTTGCAAATGCCCTTTGCACACGTTGCAACAGTTTTGCTGAAAGTGGGGGTCATCGGTGCATCACTCATCGATGATCGTGAAATGTGTTGCAAAAATCCCTATCGACGATAGTAAAATTTGCGAATCTCACGAACATCGTAATCTTAAAACTTGCAACGTGTGCAAAGGGCATAACAGCACTGAGTAGAGTTACCTTACCAAAAGAAAATAAATCGTGTCTGAGAAACAAGGATTTTAGTTTTCCAGACAAGATTGTCCTGTCATATTTGATACAGTATAGTTTATGGAACATATCGACAATGTAAGTCCGCAACCACGTAAATCGGTTTGTGACGCGGCAGACTTCCTGTCATACTTTATTTTTTACATGGAAAACTACTCAACGGCAATTCTTAAAACCTGTCGTGATTTTTCTTCTTTGTGCGAGAAAAATTCTATGACAATTTCAACCAATGATGTTGATTTGTTCTTCTTTATAAAAATGAAATAGGAGTGGAGATTTTCAAACACCACAAACGAGATACGTGGTTGCGGACTTACACCGTCGATTCATAGTATCGTACAGAGAAAAAGACTTTCTTGTTGTATGAATCAACATTTTAGTCCCGGTCACAAGATTGTCTAGTTCAGGGAACAAGATGTACATGCTGCACCTGTCAAAAGTCTAGTCTCGGTGACAAGATTGTCTAGTGCTGATAACAAGACTTGTCTCGTCACAATAAACGGCAGAAGTTAAAATTGCAAATTATAAAAGTTGCATATTAATATAAATTGCTCGAGGTCCTACTCTTATCAACACAATTTTTTTCTATTTGTTCAAAAGTTCTGTTTTTGTCTGGGAGGCATCTTCAATAGGTAAAGAAATCTTTGCAACGTGCAGCGTGGTTTGCGAGACATTTTGATGAAATGACATCAGTGGCAACGCCTAAATGATCGAATATCGATATTTCCCCATCTGAATTTATGGTAAAGAATCAGAAATTAAGGTATTCGTTGCGAACACCTTCTTCATCGATCCTTTTCCATAGGTTTAAATGGCAGATCAATCGATATATCGCAAAGTGCACCACGCCACTGGTTAACATGTGCATTGGTCGTTTCTCCTCTGACTTAAGAGTAAGGATGTATCGCTATTTCCAAATGAGCCACCGAAAGCATAGAACCATACGGAGAACAAGGCTCACGAGGATCTTAAGATACGCCTTTATGTTAGAGGTTCAACGTACACTGAAAAAATATTCTCGGCGTTTTTACCAAGGTCCGTTGGTACCTTTACCATCTCACTTTTTTTACCACTTATTGGTAATTTTACCAAGACAGACTGGTAAACTTACCTAAAATCCGGTATTTTTACTGTTTTTCCCAGGTAAGAATACCTCTTTTATTGGTAAGCAATTCCCGGTAACTTTGCCATTTTATCTCGGTAATTCTACCACAGTCGATAAAAAATACTGGCGTTTTTACCAAGGTCCAGTAAAATTACCGAGAAAGTTCAAAAATTTTACCGAGATTTCTCGGTAAAATTACCAATTCCATAAATGGTAATTTTACCAAGAAAAAACTAGGATCAAATAGAACCCTGAATTCTTGGTAATTTTACCCTTTTCTTAGTAAATACGCCGAGATTTTTTTTTCAGTGTAATGGTCAATTTTTTAGTATAATGGACCACTAGACAAGGTATAAGGTTACGGATTCTGATGCATGTTTCTCAATCAAAATTTCAACCAGAACACGATTCGCGCAACGAAAATTACTGAACTCAACACCTAATCAAAATATTTAATGTTTCTTGACGCGTGTGTTCAAACCTCCCGCTCTTGAAAACGCAATAGCCTATGTGAGTCGAATCTTACACTGAACGTTACTGTGGCAGTCTTTGCGAAACGCAGATATGGCAATCTTCATCTTGACGCTTTGGCTCAGCCACAGCAAATTGTTTACACTTTGAACAGTGGAGGTTAGGAAAGGATCAATACTCGATTGAGAAGTCTGCCAAAACCGTTTCAGCGGCTAGTTATTATATAATAATAATAATTGTCTTTGGTTATTTCAGAAGATGGAATCTGGGTTTTAACGTGTGACACGTGTCATCTTACTTTCAAATCAGAGATTTCTCTAAGGAAACACGAAGCGGAGAATAATCATGGGATAAATCGTCGATCCCTAGCGTGTACTAAGTGTAAACGAACTTTCGAAAACCAGGAAGCTTTGAGCCATCACCAATGGATTCATGAGGCTATTGACCATTCAAAACATAAATGCCTCGAGTGCCTTCAGGTCTTTGCATCGGCGGCTCACTACAATTGGCACTTCCAAGCTAAACATGGATTAGGTCAGTTCATTAACTGCCGTGCTAAGGAAGAACGCCGTATGAGTCCTCAGACGTTGCCAAATTTTCTTCAATAAAAAAATCTAAATCACTAAATCTAAATCAAAAATTTAAATTACTGCATCTAAATTACTGGGCAAACAGTGATTATTCTCCTTCAGTTTTTTTGAGAAAATTTTATTCGGAATTGTGTCCAAGACGTTTGAACAATTCTAGGGTAAAAATGAATCATTTCCCTAAAAAATAAGTGTTTTATCCGGTACAATTTGGCAACTCTCGAATGTTTGTACGGCGATTTCCGTAGCACGGTAGTAAGTATAGTTTTACGATTGATGGCCAGCACGACTGATGTAGCCTGAAACAGCGCAACGCGCTAAGGCGTTGCCTATTTCCCTCCCATGTTTTAATTTTTCATCAGAAAACCAGGCAGCGTTCTGACTTGAAATTATTATTTGACAATGTTTCTGCAATGACGTACCTATGAGAAATTCACAAAATGATTCGGAGTAGCATTATATTGTTCTGTCGGGTGGCTATCTGTTAAAAAATAAATAATTAGAACGCATTAAAGAACACCGGAAATTTTTGGGTTGGAGGGAGGGAAGCTTTTCGGTCATTCCTTCGCTTGGCTGACATAAGGGCGTAACTAAACATTGAGATGAGCCCTGAAAAGCATTCAATTGTATGGAAGACAGGGTTTATTGCAGAGTGTAGTTACGCCCTTATGACAGGTAGGTAACGATTTAAGAATCGCACCAAAGTACGGTAAGCTGATCCCAAGTTTGGTTCTTGTAACCAGTGGCGTGGTGTGCTTATCGATATATCGATTGACATGCCATTCAACCCTATGAAAAAGGATCGATCAATAGGGTGTTCAAAACGAACACTTTAGTAATCGATTCTTTACCACAGCTTCAAATGTAGAAATATCGATAATCGATCATTAATGCCTCGCTACTACCTATGACCAAAATTATCTGTTACCTGAACCAAAAAAGTTCAATACTCAATTTGTACTCAACTTTTTTCCGAAGTTCCTAGGGTCCCTCGAGAAGGGGTTTTATTCCTCAGATTCTCGTGAATGGAATTAAATGCTTTATTTATCTTACCTAGTTCTGCTGATACAAGGCTAAATGAAATTTTAAATAAGAAAGGCGCCGATTGCGCTCTTGTCATTCATCTTCTCTTTTATTTTTTGTGCATGCATAAATTGAAACGTTTGTTTAATTTTGGATCCTCGTCTTGTTGAGGTTGAAAATATCAGCCTCAAAAGGGGGATCTAAGCAGTCCCGTGGCGTGTTTTGTAATATATCGATTGTTATGCCATTTAAATCCATGGTAAAGAATCGATTATTAAGGTGTTCGCTACGAACACCCTGTTTATCGATCCTTTTCCATAGGTTTAAATGGCATAACAATCGATATATCGCAAAGCACGCCACGCCACTGGATCCAAGCAGTGGCGTGGCGTGCTTTGTGAGAAATCGATTGATCTGTCATTTAAACCTATGGAAAAGGATCTATAGACAGAGGATTCGCAACGAACACCTCAAATCGATTCTTTATCACAGCTTCAAATGGGAACATATCGATAATCGATCATCCGCGCCTCGCTAGATGGCGCACACTGGACCGAGTCCATAAGAGAAGACGGACAAAATCTGGAAACTTTGAAAGCTTATATTTTCAAAAATATGAATTAAAATAGTTCAAGAATGGTTCTATTGGGTTTTCCGTGAAATCTCATCTCAGAAACACCCCGTGAAATGGAATTCGTGACCAAAGAAACATCAACATTTGAAATTTTAGCCAAAAAATGCATGTCCCACCTCTTCTATCAGCTCGTTTCCCTGTGCGGTGTTGTGATGGCTCCTCATTTCTTGCCTAAAATGTTTAATGTAATGAATTGGACGTATTTCTGCCAAACGGAACTATGAACATTTAAACATGAGCCCTGAGACCCATACAAATATATTCGTGACAGGGTTCACGTCATAATGCACGCAGTTCCGTTTGGAAGAGATACGTCCAATTGTTTAACGTGTTGCGTTAAAACTATTCGTCTTGCTAAGGCTAAAAAAATCTGTACAGCTATACAGCATCCCTCTACTGACCTTTTATACGGTAATTTCTGATTTGTTTGTTTTTTGCAGGTGCACCACCCCCTCCCAGACCACCCGTGCGTAAGTACGAATATGAACCTATCTCTAAAAATCTTGTGATGAGCAAATGCTCGGCTTAAATTAATAAGAATGCCTAGAATTATTAAGAGACCTCAGTGCTTTAATATTTATAGTGAGTTGGAGAATTTATAAGGAGTACATTATATTTTGCATCTTCCGTGATACCGAGAAAAATGTTTTACAAAAATGTTTCTCGCGAGCAGGACCTTTCAATGGAAGAAGAAACCACTCTTCGTTGAGTCCGTTGCTGTCTCTGTGTCACTGCGCAGCTACACTGCCGTGCTAAGGAAGAATGTTTTATGAACATTCGAGAGTTGCCAAATTTCCTCCGATAAAATGTCTATTTCTGAGGAAAGTTATCAATATTTTTCCTGGAAATGTTTAGACCATTTGTATCAAATTACAAACAAAATTCCCTGAAAAGTAGGAAGAAAAATATTTAAAAATATTCCCAAAAATTCGTGATTTATCAAAGGCAATCATGCAACACTGTAGGCTAATACGGTATTTTTCCGTAGCACGGCAGTGCACTGCACTGCACTAGTTTTTCGCACAGATAGTGTCACAGTCTGGAAAACACAAGGTTTGAGCCCGGAAAAGTCCGAAAATACCGATAATGTGTTATTGTCTAACATCTTATTGCGTTTGATTCACACGGTAAATTTGAAAAAAACTCTTGTTCCGAACTACGCAAATTCCGCCTTATTGATTCCAGCCCTTTCTTTTCTCATAAATAGAGTTTTTTTTTAAACGATATTGTGTATTTCTTCTTTCACAAATGAGACTTTGTTATGTTCAAGGCCAATTTGTCTGCGACACCTGCGGAGATTCTTTCGATAACCCTGTCTTATTCAAAAGGCACCAGCCGAGCCACACTGGAGAATTGGTCTGCCCCGTATGTTGGACATTTTTCTCAGCGCCGTATAGTAAACAGGTGCACATGGAAAATAAACACCGGGGTCATCGGAGTCCCTAAAATTAGGATCTGTAATGAACTGGAAGATTTTAGAACCGAAAAAACGCGACCTCCATACGTAACAAATCATGTAACACAAGTGTAACACTGTGACAATATGTAACGTTAGTTGTAAATATTCGTCAAGTGAGTACGGAGGGCATGGATTCGATGGACAATGATCCATCGGATGATCACGTGTTTGACGGTTAGAGGTTAGAGCGAACCCGTAATTACAAGTAAATATAAAAAACAACAAGTGACGTCTGCACATTTAAAAGATTAACACCCTCCAATGAAGCCTTCCGAATTTTTTAGAGTTTTTATGATTTAACGTTATATTATGTTGATTTTAGATTAACTTTTTTATTTTTTGGTTTTGATGTTTACATTTTTTCTTAACTAACTTTGCTTTTCGTTTCCACCATAATGCGATCTTTGAAATTTCTGAATTCCACATCGTTGAGTCGAATCATTGTTTTTCTAATTTCCTTTATTGTTCTTTGTATTTTTTTATCACCCTAATCCCATATATGGTAAAATGAATTTGTTGTTATTTCATGATTTTCATAAAAAAAGTATTAGGTTTAGGTTCAAGGCTTTACAGTTTCAAGTAAAAACTTATATTCAGTAGCCTTTATTTCATTACAAAAATTTCCAATATATATGACAAAAATTTTATTTAAATTTCAAAATTTCATTCCTAAATAATCATTGTAATGCATGATTTTCGATTGATTGAACCTATGAGCGGATTGCATGGTTATTACATTCGTATCTTTGTATTATTTTCCTATTTAAAAGTATGTAAACATATCAAAGATTCTTGGTAAAAGATCGATAGGTCGCAGACCGATAGGTCGAAGAGGTCGAAAATCGATAGGTCGATTATTTGAAAATCGATAGGTCGATTATTTGAAAATCGATAGGTCGATTATTTGAAAATCGATAAGTCGAAGATCGATGGATCAAACATCGTCGAAGATCGATAGGTCGAAGATCCTCCCTGAGCTACCTCCTTTACGATCCTTTTACGTACCTGTGTAACTCGGGGCGGAATGCGTCCCTAGGGAAAATGCCGCTTACCTCGCGTCACCAACCCCCAAGAAGCCCTCATGCCAAAAATGGGAACATCCTGATCATACGATCTAGAGATATAGAGATCAGTCAGTGGAGTGGCGCTTTTATTAATATAGATAGATAAATACCGCTACCAACATGAAAAGATTTTACATTTGATTAAATATAAACATTCATTTAAATTGACTTTTCTAGCGAGTAAAAGGGTTGAATGTTGTATTCCAAAAATCGTTAAAGTAGGGGTCTTCTTTCTTCTATACTCTCATTAATCCTCTCATAAACAAGAAATGGCACTCGATTGGAAGAAGAAGAAAAAGAAAAATTTTGTAATCCAAAACACATCCTGAGAACTTCAAAGCTGTAGCGTTTCGCAGTCTCAGTAAAAAAAGGCTGGGTGAGAGGAGGAATTGTATTTGGTCCATTTTTTTGCTGACACTGTCATGTTGGTCGCTGTCTCTATTAGGGACCTTAAGGTGATTCTAACTGATCTAGAAATAGTTTTCATCAGTGTAGCGAGCGGTGCTAGTCGTTTCTCTGGAGAGACCAGGAAATTATTATTACTCAAAATTACCTAATGATATTTTCAAAATCAGATCCTTAACGTAAAGCTAATTTTTTAGATATATTTTTGAGGTATTTTACGTATTGGTTAATACGAAATGGTCGTTACTCAAAATCACCTGAGAATCAAATGAAAATGTGCAACGTAATCGTAAAGAACCATCGTGATTTAAATTCTGACCAAATTTTTTTTAAAGATTTCAGCATTTCTGAGAAATATTCTCCAATTAATAATTTCAAGACGAGAATTTTGATTGAGTCAACCGGAAATATCTTTAGAAGACGTTTAAGAAGTTTATAGTAACAAAAGTACATTATAACAAGGAGATTTCCTGTTCATTTTTCAACAAAAAATTTCGACTGGGAAAATTAATTGAAATTTCTGTTGATTCAACAGAAATTTTTTCTTGGTGCATTATGACCTCAAAATGATTGTATATGAAAAGCTGTAACAACAAGCTGAGACCCTCAGGGATTTAAAAGATTCATTAAAGTTTGCGCTGGATTTATCAATTTTTTCTTTTAGCGCGCATTGAAATTCTGTATGTTTGCATATTGCTCTGCCATGAAATACGAGAATCGCTCCGACTTATACTTTCTAATTTCGTTTCCTTAAGAATAATAGTGGTTAATACGGTCGAAAATCGTTAGCATATGTAACATCGGTGAAAAATCGATCAAATATTTGAATGATAAGGAAAAAAAATCATTGATAACAAATAAAAAGAAACCAGGGCTCCTCTTCTCTCTTTCAAGCAAAAAATGCCAAGGAATAGGTAAAAAAATTGAGATGACCATCTTAAACCATCCTCTGTCTATTAGTTACAACGAAATTGTCTACTTAAATTCTGAAATACTGTATTGGACATCGGACGTTTTCGCACGAGCCGGTTCAATTAGAACCGCGCCTTTCAGCAAGCGAAAGCTCCGTAAGAACCAATGTTAACATTTTTCTTCTCAGAGTCGGTACTTATTGAAACCAATTTCGGGGTTACCTACAAATATAAAAATGTAAAAAAACGTTAAATTTTAAGCGAATTCACAGTACCTCTCCGGATCAACGATAAATAAGTTAAAAGAAAACTCTTGCAATACCTAAAAACGTATGTATCTGCTATTATTCGACCCCTCCAAAACGTCGACCTTCCACAGACGTAAATAGTACTTATTGAAACAGCTTCCTTTCGTTATGCTCCGTGGACATGAAAATGGCGGTGGCTTTCGCTTCTGTTGACGCTAGTATCTTTATTCTATGTTTTAGCCTACAAAAAACTGTCAACTTCGAAATTTATTTCGAGGTTAAGAGTACTCTTCGGAGCGGTCCGCCAATTTTGTCACCTCGGCTGCGCGCGCAACCCGCGTTACCAACGAAACGCCACCCGCGTGAAAAAAATCTAACCATCGGCCCGAATCGCAAAAATTTTAGTTCCGCCCGCGGCATGCCGAATCTTTCCTCCTCAAAATTACCAGTGAAAAATGCCCGAAATTAAATCCCAGTCGTGCGAAAATGTGTAGTCATTCGTCGGTCCCCGCCAAGTCCCAAGATGAGTGGTAACAAATGCTGCTGCGACATCCAGGAGCAGAAGTGTTGCGAGGTCAACTGCCGCTGCGCCCTCTGCCGCGTCTACCACCGCTACACGCAATGCGGCCGTCCCTCCTTGAACGTCATGTGCTGTCGCGGCCGCTGGTGGAAGTCGCCGATGAAACCGAAGTCTAAGTCCATCACGGCCTGCGTCGTCGACCCCAACCAGAACAGGGACAACTGCAACCAGGGCCGAGACACCTGCTGCACCGGGAGGATGGGGGGCGGTGGAGGTGCATGTTGCCCGGCCAACCTAGGTTGCAAGCCCAGCCCGCCCAACGCCGGCTGTTGCCCACCCCCCGATTGTGACCCTTGCAACCCGTGCCCCAAGACATGCCCGGCACCGTGCCCGGTACCGTGTCCGCCGAAGATGTGTTGCTCCCGGCAGAACTGCTGCATGAAGACCATCACCACCTCGGAGTGCGGTTGCAAGCTCCCCTGCTGTTGCCCCAAGCCCCGCCCCTGCGCCAAGTCGGTCTCCTGCTGCCAGTTGGAGTGCCAGCAGAAGCTCTGCAAGTGCACCTACACGCCGACCTTCAAGTGCTGCCCGCAGAATTTCCCCCTCTCTTGTTGTCCCAAGAACAGCTGCTGCCAGACCTGCACCAAGGATCTCCCCGTCTGCTGCACCGGCAACAACAGCAACAACGGCTGCAACAATGATTGTAACTCGTGTTGCAGGTACGGTAGCAACTACAACCCTGCACAACAACCAATGTCGACTTACACCGGAGCCCCCTTTGATTGCACGGTGGGTAAACTAAGTAATTCTGAGCGCGTAACTGCAGGGATCTCGATCTGCCCGTCCGGTAGGAATGCTCTAGCGTGACCGGCGGTCTAGTCTCAGCCGTGAGTATCTCAATAGATTGTTCTTTGGGCTGCTTTCAGCAGATAGGAACCAACTTCATGGATTTTACCGGAATCAGCCTACCTCTGTTTCACGTTCTCTAATTGGGCTGCATTTTGCAATTTGGAACTATGAATTCTGGCCCGGTTTATAAACAACATATGTGCCATTCGTTTCCCTATGCACATAAGTGTTTTTCCAGATGAGCCAGAATTTATAGTTCCAAATTGCAAAATGCAGTCCAATTTCCTCTCGTGTTTTTCTTTTTTTGGCAGATAACCTCCACACTGCCTTTTAACTTGCTGTTTTACTCGAGATTATGGAAAATTTACTCAGAAAATTGCCAAGTTTTAAAGTTAAATACTTGATAAAAAATAAAATATTTGAGAAAATTTGACAACGTTCAACGTAGATAGGCGTATTCCGATAAAATTCGTGCATATAGCATCAAGAGACCAGAACACAATGATCTATTGCTTCTCGAGACTCGATGATGTCAGGAAAAACTTTCAGGACTATCATATGAAAACTGTTGAAATCGTAGAAAAAAGTAATTTTAAGATGATAAAGTCCGTCACACCTAAATTTTCTTTTAGCAGCAACTGGACATTAAATCACAGTGATACAGTGATATTCTTGCATAATTTTTGGCATCTGGCACTCATTAATTACACAGTTTTCATTACTCTATAATTGTATATCTGCACGCGATGTTCCAAAGTTCTCAGACTTTTATTTTTTTTTAAAATTACAGGTAGATGGAAATTGAATTTACAATTTAGCTAGATATTTTCACAGGTTGACTCCGGATTAGACAAGAGAGATCTAAGTAGATTTTAATCCATTAAATCAATCAGTTTTCCCTATTAAAATTAAGTCATGCGTGAATATTTTGGATACTTGCAAATGAGAGCCGTGGTTCTTTTTTAAATTAGCTGTTGAACTATGGTACGAACCAATATTTGAAATGAATTTTTATTGACTAATCAACTCGATTACTGGGCTAAATTTTGTGTAACATGTTAGAAAAGCATAATTAAGTTGAAACTGCAAATCTTCTCATGGTAATTCTCCCTCCCTTCATTTTTAAATAAAGCACATACGTTATATGAAAAGCTGTCAAAAGCTTAACGGAAACTTGGAAAGAATTTTAGGTAATTTAAAGTGGAAAAACAAAATAATAAAAAAGTTAGATCTCTTCGAAAGTTCCCGTTGAAACCTTTTCCAATTGAATAGGGGGTGAACAGTTCTTGACAGTATTCTGATTGCCACCTTGATTTCAAAGGAGTGGCGTGGATAATCGATTGTCGATATCTCGCTATTTGAAGCTATGGTGAAGAACTAAGGTGTTCGCTGCGAACACCCTGTTTATCGATCATTTTCCATAGGTTTAAGTGATCAATCCATCGATAAATCGCAAAGCACACGCCCCGCCACTGCTTGAATTTTATCTTGTTTTATTCCATCAGTTTTCATATGAGTTCCAAACTTTCCATTTACCCAGTGAGCCTTCGTCTTTTAAATTTCCCACCTTTTCTCTTCGAGCTGGTTTCTTTCTGCCGAATGCAGTCCTTTTAGAGTAAGTTTATTCATAGTTTAGGTAATTTTTTATGGGGTTGACAGGACTGAATTCAGTAAAAAGAAACCACAATCAATTTATCAAAAAGTATTAAAATCGTGCGAGAAACTTGTCTCTGTTTTGAGTTTCAAGTCTGCAAATAATTAGAAGGAAATTATGAACAGAGATGGATCTTACCGCTTCTTTCTATTTTCTAATTTTTCTGTTCGATATTCTTTCCCCCTTTTTTATTTCTACTCTATTACAACTTACTTTTTGATTTTCTCTCGGCTTCTTATTGAAATTTCTCGGAGCAATAAGACTTAAGCTTTAAATCTTGGCTTGGTGCTGGTCTAAGTTGGTTATTTCTGCTATATTCGGTCCACAGGCATTTACTGAGCGCTCATTCTGCACGAAAATAAAGAATAGTGTTGTATACTAGACTGATCAATTGTATAATATACTTCCGGGAACTATAAAATCCAAAACTATAGATTTCCATGGAAGAATATATTGCTAGATAGTTGGGTACCAATCGCTTTTCTTTCTCTGGTTCTTCTTAATAGGTCCGTGTCACAGACTGGCTTGGAACCTTCCTTCCTCCTCATATAGTACTTGCCACGTTTTTCTAGAGCCTTCCTCCTTTAGGAATTTTACTATACGCAATTTATGGACGGCATCCGAAAGCTCAATATATTTACGCGTTTTTCTATCTGGCACGGCGTTTAAGTAAAAATGCCTTCACTTGATCAAGTATGCAATTTGCGATACTTGTGCACGAATAGTTGCCTACTTTACCCAGTTGAGAAAGGTTCGTTTTAATCCAACTCAGTTTTTGCCGAGGATGATAGGCTGGTTGACTGCTTACTGCTAGGATAAAAAATTTCCTTGAACATCCTGAGTCAACAAGGAGGGTGTAGCTAAGAGTTCCTTTCACACTTCGCAAGAATGATATTTAGCTATCATTTGTTTAAAAAAAATTATGAATTTCTAGTTGCTTAGAATGTGATGTGAAGAGATGTAGGCTACTTCTTGTTGGAAACAAAATTCAAGTTGACTTTTTCGTTCACTCATTTTGATATCGTTTTTCCTACATTCTCAATATTGATGATATCGCAGTTTTTACAGTTAGAGCTAGATCTTAAACTGTTGTTGTGAAGATTTACGTTCCTGAAAGGAAATAATCTTGCATTGTTTTCAGGACTTAACTTGTATAAAACATCCTGCCGACCCAAAACCCTGCAATATAGAACCATGCGTAAAATCGAGCTGTTCCCAACCTTCCTGCGCAAAACCTTTGTGCGAAAACCCTTCCCGTACAAAATCCTTAGTCTCTCTTTGCAAAAAAGCATCAATTTATGATAAAATTTTGAAACTCATTGGGCTCGATTACTAATGTACCAACTCGGAAAATTTGATTAAAGGAAAAACGTTTGATTTTGACATATTTTTGCACCATTAAAATAAAATTCACTTGAACTTTGGTGGTTTTGTTTTTCTTATCACGGCACCATAGGATATTATTAGGATATTATCGTTAGGACATTACGAAAAACTGAGTAAAAATGTGGGCCGAGCTACTATTATAGAACGCCCATTTGCCTGGGGTGTGGCGTCAGCAATACGTGACGGTGGATCTCGTGGTTGAAGCATATGCGGCTGTGTTGTTGACTCACGTAAGTTGATTCCCATGTAGAGTTTTCATCAATTAAATTGTATAGTCTGTGTATTTCGAGAGGTATTTGGATGTTTTACAGATATGCTCACGTATTGACGAGAGATATTTTATGGAGAGATCACTGGAAATTAGTTCCACTTAAACTTTCAGCCTTTAAATCTTAACCAAAATTGCTGTCAACAAAGGCACATCGTTGCTTTCGTCAATTTGTTTACGTCACACCTCAAGATCTCGTTTATTTAAAGATATACGTATTTAGAACCAATTTGCGCCGTTTAGTCCCAAGTCATTGCAATGTGGGCACTAAGAAGGAAATAGCCATATATCAAGAAGAATTCTTACACATGCGCATAAAATATATTGTGTTCTTTCCACAGTTGTACGAGTGAATACAGCTTATCATTGAATGGGGATCCCAAATTACGGAAGCTCTCATCTGATCATTGAGGGTAGGTAATGTCAGGGGGTTGATTTTAATCTTGAACATTCAAAGCAAACAGCATTCAACTCCGAATTTACCTGTCATGTGTTAGAGTTCCGACTCAACCATTTACAGTAAGAGCTTGCTAAGTCGATTTTTTTCGGTTCTGAGACACGCTCAGTGTATTAAGTGAAGAATCGGTTAAGACCAATTGCCGCTTAAATCGAATTTGCTTTCGGTCCCTACACAATTCGACTTAGCGAGCTTCCACTGTATTTAAATGAAAAATATCGCGAGAACTACGACGATGCCTCTGATTTTTCTCAAATCAGTCCTCAGGTCAAAAGAGCTCTTAAACTATGAGATCGTAATGGGGAAGTACAACGAGGAGACGCGATAATTGTACTCATTGTAATTACTAGTTTTCTAGTTAGCTTCTTAGTGATTGTCCATAAGGAATGGGACTTACGTTTAAAAATCTAAAAATTTACTTATTTTACCACCGCTCAAAAGGGTGTTGTATAGACACTTTTTCGCGCAAAGAAGTCAAACTAAACTCTGGTCATTACATTTTGTTGCTTTCGGTTGAAAACACGTGATTTCGACAGAAACATATTGAAATAATCTGGCACATAACGCACTCTTTTCATAGAGATACTAGCGGCTTGATTATTGAATTCATGTCAATTCGACAAGACAGAGCCCTATCTTGCCTCTGAAATAAGTCTCATTTCCCTGCTTTAAACATTCAATAATCGGTATACAGAGCACATACCTTTGTCAAAACTTCAAATTTTAATTTTGACCCACTTGGTTAAGTCGGTCTCTGGTAAAATATGCTCCAAGTAACGAGGTCCTGTTTCACTTGGACGGCCATTTTTGAAGACAAATATAGACACAGCAACACTGAACAGTGGCGAGGCGTGAATGATCGATTATCGATATTTTCCCATTTGAAGTTATGGTAAAGAATCGATTATTGAGGTGTTCGTTGCGAACACCCTGTTTATCGATCCTTTTTCATAGGTTTAAAAGGCAGGCCAATCGATACACACGGAGAAAAATACTTCGTGCGAAGTTTAGGTCATATGAATTTCTGAAGTTTTCGGATTGAGCATCTGAATACACAAGGTCCAGCTGCTGAAATTTGGATCATACACCTGAAACTTCAGTTCTTACATCTGAAGTACTTCGGTTTTCACATCCGAAAAACTTCGGTTCTCACATCGAAAAACTTCGGTTCACACATCTGAGGTACTTCAGATGTAAGAACTGAAGTTTCAGATGTGTGATCCAAACCTCAGCAGCTGGTCCTGGTTCAGATGCTCAATCCGAAAACTTCAGAGATCCATATGACCTAATCATCGGGTCCCACGCACGAAGTTTTTTTCTCCGTGTATCGCAAAGTACGGCACGCCTTGATGTTGAAAACCATTACGGGTGAAGTTAATTTCAATTGTGCAATTTTTTATGTATGTTTGCAGTGACACCTCCAGCAGATGCCCCTGCGGATAGTGCTTGTTGCTACGAGAATGGACGGGGGCGCATCTCCACGGCATCCTCACCAAAAACACCTCTCTTAAGTTTTGGATAAAGAATAGCATATCTCATCCTAATCATTCAGGAATCACACCTCTCGTTAATCAACCATATAAACCTCCACCTAAATGAAACTGGAAAATTAAAAAAAAAACAGCCTAAAAGACCTTGAAACATCTCCCCAAGAAGGCGTCAATGTTTAGAGAAAAGTCGTTTCAAAACTTCGCTGAAGGAGTCTGCCTTGTTTCAATGAAAGGACAGATGGGAGAAACGTGCGACTTATCCGCCTAGGACTTTAACTTTTTCCCCCTTTTCTTTTTCCTTTTTTAAATGAAATTAATGATGCGTTTTCACCAATACAGGGTCTAAAATTAAAATGTGAGAGTGAAAAAACACTCGTCGTCACCAAAACGTAACTCTCCATAAATATCCACACAAAATCGCTCCTCATGCAGCTTGTGGTCGGAAAAAATCATTGCTCTGAAAAAAAAATTAATTATCGTAATCATAATGTTGGTTTCCTGGCTAAAAAATACATTTATGCATCAAGCCGGCTCTATTGCGAATGTGTATGAATGATTTGAAAGTGAGAGAACAGTATTTGAGGAATTGTTAGTGCCTTTAGTAAAATAAATAGTGTGATCATCAATAGTGTGTGTGGCGGTGCATGTTACGACTGTTACGGTTAAATTTATGGAGTGTTACTTTTGGCACTGAGTATCGGTTTCTCTGCTTTGTCTTGCAGAATCATAATCATGCCCATCCCCTAAATCGTCCATTGCCGTTGGATGGATTTTTATTTTGAACATTATTAATTATTTTCTGTGATTTGAAGTTTTTAATTGCATAGCGATCACCTGAGATTTTTCTTATCATTGTGAAAGTATTTTAAAGAAAGTCAAAAACATGATATTTCCGATATGCTTCGTACTTTTTGTTTCTTTTGTCATTGTAGAAACAGGAAATCTCGTATCATCGTGAATATAATAGCAAGTACAGTCCGAAAGGAGGGAATCTCAGCACAAAAGATCAATCTTCAAACAAATCAATCGTCGCACAAAGATCAAGAATTATTTGAACATAATTCTCGTAAATTCCACACTTACTAACACGACTTATTATTAAATGTCTGCTTTATAAAGGAATACTTGAAAATTTCACGAATTGTCGGAGTCTGAATATGAACAAATAAAGGACAATATGAAAATATTCTAAAATTCCGTAAAAATGACTTTTAAAGTAACAATTGGAGGAACGGAATGTTGTTTAAATTTCGTGGAATAAGTAATTTCAGGACCTTTGTGACGACTTAACCGAGTGAATATAAAAATCTGTGAGGGAAAACATATGCATGTGAATACTCTTTGAAAACACAACTCGTCCACTTTCCAGAGCCTCCACAAATGATTTATCTTTCAAGCTACTTTGATAAAAACATTAAACCTCCTCCCCTCCTGGTTTTATTGGCAAGCAGGGCTTGTCCTCTAAACATGTCCGCCAATCAAGTCGTAACAAAATACGCACAGACTAATTGAAGCTTCCGGTGAATAAATAAGTATTTTTTTTGTTTTGGGGGGGGGGGTCCGAGAAAAACCAGTTTAAAATTGAAAATTACATTGAATTTCATGGCTCATAAAAAGTCACAGATATTGCGTTGCTGAAGATCGAGATTTTGAGCTGCATGTTACCTCGCTTCAGAAAAAAGTGTCTATTTCATTCACTGGAGACTTCAATCTCATTCTCATTTAAACAATTATGAGCTTTCTATTTTTTTTTATTTTATTTTTTGAGGGGACTAAAACTAACAAAATATTTTAAAAAAGCCAAATCATATTCGAGTTTTTGTCAGTAATCCCGAGAGAATCTTGCAACCACGGTGCCAGAACGAAATAGCGGAAGATGCTAAGAACCCGTGGAGAGGGGGGAGGGGGTTGAGCCCATCAACCGCGCATTTTATTGGCTACCTGAGCTGCTCTCTCTTAAATATTTCACCTGCCATTCGCGAGGAAAGCGGGAAGGAAAACACTTTCCCTCGCCGAGGCGCGAGCCTGTCTTTGTAGCGACGCACCCCCATAAAAGCATAATTTACAAAATAGCGAAAGTTTACGGGAATTACTCGGGAGCGGTAACTGGATTACGTCAGGAGTGGCATACGGAGTTTATATCAACTGCCATTAGGGTTGCGCTTCCCCCGATGCGCTCATAACTATTTCACTACCCTGACCCCGATGGGGTTGCCCGGAGCGCCCTCTGGGCCGACTCGGTGGTGCTACCCGAAAACCCCATTTTCATTATGCCGAACAGGTAGACGTAGATATGCCGTCTTTTTACAGCGGTGCGTTCGAGCTGGGGTCAGAGATGCAAAATGTTTCGCGGAATGAAATTTCATGATGAATTTCATTTTGCAGAAAAGTGAAATTTCATTTTCCACGGAACTTCAACGATTTCTAGGGGCTGCGTATGCAACACGCAACAGTCATCCAATAGGCAACTTTATGAGATACGTGACCCTCCCCCCTAAATTTCTAAATTAAGATATTACTTTTCTGTGCATTTCATAACATTCTGAATCAATCGCAGACTTTAAGATAATAAAGATAAAGTCTAATAACGTTTCTAAGATTTCGAAAAAGTTAATTTTTCAAAGTTTCATGAATTTTTCATCTCTGGTTAAGGAAACGGGACGGGTGATGCCCCACAGATGATGACCGAGTATGTGAAATTGCATGACCATCGACATGAAGGCGCACACAAATTGAATAGCATTCAGGAAAACTGATATCTGTCCACGAAGGCAGTTTTGGGAAAGCAAGTATTTACCAAAGTAATCAATGTGGGTAGATCTATTCTGCTTAGTGACTTCCAACTTTCTTCCGCATTTGAGTGTGTGTTGAACTGGTTGCTGAGTACGAGTTGTGGCACTTTTTTCAAAATTAATTAGTTCCAATACAAATAATGTTGGGAGGGGAAGATAATTATTTAGTAAATAATTACTGAGTCATAGTAAGGAAGTGAAATTGGACAATTTTCCGCCTTTGAATGAAAGTAAAATATCGACGGTGTACGTCGGCAATCACATAACTCGTTTGCGGTGTCTGTAAATCTCCGCTTCTGTGTTATTTTTTTAAATGAGAGCAAACTGACACCATTCATTGAAGTTTTCGCAGAATTTTCTTTGAACAGAGAAGAAAAATCACGGCAGTTTTCAAGAATTGCCGTTGAGTAGTTTTCTGTTTAAAAAATAAAGTATGACAGGAAATGTGCAACGTCGCAAATCGAGTCGTGATTGCCGACTTACACCGTTGATTTGCTCGCTGTCGAACAGGAGCATTCATCATGACAGATTTGGCCCTAAATATGTCCCAACTTCATGCAGTAATTTTTATTGAATAGCATAGGCAAAGTTGGTTACCATTTCATTAGAATAAAAAAACTGCAAATTTTCAATATCTAGCATCGTTCTTCAACTATTTTTTCGTGAGCGACATCTCATCGGCAGTATAGAACGACGCGTTGCGAGTTCACGTCACGCGTCATCGCTCCTTCAATTTTGCAGACGCGACACGGACATCCATCAAGTACGAATAGTTGTATCTCTGCGCCGTCCAAGGCGTGATCTCAAAGCCGTCCTTTCCCTCGCTCTATTTTCATGTAGTGTTTGTTGTTGTGCATGTGACTTAAAATTGGTTACACAGTGCTCTGAATTGTATCTTAAGAGAATGATAAAAAAAACAAAAAAACAACAAAAAAAACATATAATGTCTAATAAAAAAAATCAATTTTTTTGCGATACATTCGAGGGAACTTAACTTTTACCGTAAAACTTTTCTTTAAGTAACTGAATTCCGGGAAAAAGTTTCAGAATTATGCAGAAAATTATTTCAACATCAGATTGACATTCGCCCTTTTTTTGAATAACCCTTTTAAGGTCTCAGTTTTTAATTACTACGGCGTGGGGACTGTGGGTATGTAGTTTATTATTGAACACCCCGTGGATTGTGCAAACATATTACATCCAGAATCCGAAACGAGCGACCTTTCCTGCGCGGCAACCCGGCGAACGCGTAGCGGTCAAGCCTATAAATTTGTGATTTAACTACCGTTGCTACCTGTCGCCCAGGTTCCGAGCATCTGCTGTGTTAAATTAACAATTTACCTGCGCACCGGTTTTGCCGCCGGCGGGTCGCGAACCGCGTAACCGGGTGACAAAATGCTATTTTTAACGGCCCGAGCCCGAAAACCACGCGTGGTGTCCTGCCAAAGCGAGCCGAAATTCTCCCATTCAATTACCTACCCGCTCTTTCAAAGCTTTGAGCTTTCGCACGCCAAAGTTCCGCGGGTTCTGAATTGTTTATGCTCGAGTTTGGGTCTTGAGCTTGGGGGAATGAATTTTTAATGGATATTTTCCGGTTTCACTCGTGGACGAAATTCGTGTGAGCAGCCATACCGCCATACCATGCCATACTACGCTAATTTTGACACCGGCTGAGAAATCGTCGTTCCCTTCGCGAAAGAACGTAACTTCGTAACAATGTTGCCAAATTTCCCCCCTCTCGAATTTCGTTCTTAAAGGGAGAATCTTTGGCGTTTCTAACTGCAAGTTTGACTGATTTTTCATCTGATCTCAAGCAAAAATCAGAAAAATTTCAGACACAAATTGCACAAGTACATTTTTATAAAAAATTGAATGTTTGAGTCAATTTTGCAACCTAGGAATGGAGTTTCAGTCTTTCGTATTGAAAAAGTCGAAATATGGTTGGATTAACTATGAACTTGGTACAGCCGTTCAATTTTCATGTAAACCCACCGAAAAATCGGCAAAATCAGTCAAAATTCATGCTTGGCGCTGATTTCTTCGGCCTGTACGTAAAGAGAAGATAGTCGTTGAAACCAGCGGCTAATAAGAAATGTACCGGCTACCGTGCAAAAGTTACAATAATTTTTGTGGTAGATGTGATAACCAAACTGGTGGTTACAATTACCGGTAGAGCCCATTTCAGATAACTTTGCCCTTTTTGCCGTATATGTAAAATAGGAAATCCTTCATCTCGCGCATACGTACTATTATTGATGGTGTTCTCAGTTGACCAAATTTAAAAAAAAAATTCAAAAATTTCAAAATCAAATTCCTGCCTTCTCCTGCCGGATGACAGAATATTTCCACTGCAATAGGCATGATATTATTCTCACTCGACAGTAAAAGTCAAAATTTTTCATGCATCACGCAGTCCGCTAAACAACAGGTTTCGTGGAATACAGCCGAAAGCAACTAAAATTCGAAGGCTCTTTGCAAGAACACCCCCCTCTCAACCCCGATCCCGCTCTCCACTCCCGCCGCGCCGTGAGCAGTCACCGTAGTGGCGGCGACGGGAGACAAACCACTCGGCCGCGCAACACTCTTCCAGGGGCCCATCATAAAATGCACGGACCATTTCGCGCTTTTGATCAAGAAATTACTTGGATCTTCACGTCTCTCGCCTCGCCCTCCCCCCTGCATCTCCTCCAGACACCCCCCCCACCCTCAACACTACCCCCTCGACGCCGCGGTAGAACAATGAGCGAGTTTCGGATGGGTTTCAATGACGGGAATCAATTTCCACCGCTTTGAGGCTGACATAAAAGTAATGCCGCTCCAGGCGGGGTGGGGGCTCGTTTCGTCACCATTTACACGGAAAATGCAAGAAAAATATTGTTCGACTCATTCCAACCCCCGAACTCGCACCCCTCCTCGCGCCCTGACGCGTCGCTAGGGGAGGGGTGCCAAAATCGCTCCCGTCTGCACAGTTGTCGCCGAATTGAATAAGAATTTCGGGCGAAACGAAGATATCGATGGCTGGATTAGACCACATCTTTTCGTATCTCATCTTACCTTATCTTGTTTTATCTTTTGAATACAAAAACCCAACAACAGATTGGACTACATTTTCCAA